TTGTGGTCTTTTCATGACTTTGAAGTAAGTGTGGTGATTGGATGCTGATTCTCAGACTTATTGCAACTCTGGGCTTCCCTCAGAGTTTCAGTGGGGGTTTGTCTCTGTTGACTGTGTGTTGGGGGAAAGCTGCAAAAGTATTTTGCTTTGTTAAAAATCAGAGACAGTCGCTTTGGTTTCGAGGAATTAAATTTAATCTCTGGAACTTGTGTTACTCTGATGTGCAGAAAAGTAGCTGGATGTTGTATCCTGCCACCACCTCCCACAACCACACACACAGCCTCCTCCTCCACACACAACCAAAGACTATTTCTTCTTACACTTGAATATGATTGTATGTTTCGATGTAAACTTTTTAGTGACCCACACAGTCCTGAAATTTAAAAAAAGATGACTGCTAGTGCACTCCAGAGGATGCTGCTGGTCCAACATGGCCCGTTGTTGGCTCTGCAAACATAGATTTTCAAAATATGTTGTGATTAGCCACCTGCTAACCTGAGAATGGGTCTGATGTCTTTAGCCAAGCCTTAGCAAGTCCCTATCCTCTGTTTTTTGACAATAGTTGACTGTAAATGTCATTATATGAACATTTACAGGGTTAAAAGACTGTATGAAAACCTTTGCTAAAAATATACAGCAGGCCTATATCTCAGCATTTCATTCATTTCTGTGACGAAAACGACATAAAATAGTTATTTTTTAAGTTTAGATACTATTTAAGATATTCATTTAAAAAAAAATTCACAGAATAAGAGTACGGTGAAGAGCTGAACACAGGCTATATTGACAGAGCCAAACCAAAAAGCTCATAGAACAATTGCCAAGTGTCAGGGCGGAGAAACAATGGTTATTAAAAATAAAGAATATGCATAATACAGACAGATAAATGCATAAAAAGTTCCTAACATATTAGGAAAACTCATCTCTTGTGTCATATTTAAAGGAAATAATCTGCTCAGTATTCATCCAAATTGCTGTGTTTACACAAACTTCTTGCAGTTATTGCGTTCCCTCTCTGGGTTAATTGTACAGTTGATCAGTTTTTCTGTATTGTTATTGTTATTCACTGAATATAATGTGAAATGTCCATAAAATATGTCACTTAGTCAGGGGTCATCAGTTTACTCAAAAATAGAAAAGGGATCCCTCAAGGCAAAAGGTTGGGAACCACAGCTCTAAACTATAGAGGCTTTGTGCAGCCTGAAGTATATTTTCTGATCAGCAGTCCAAGGTCTAGATTTACTCTATTAGCATGTGTTCACATCGGTACGTAGTTGGTGTTGACTGCGCTGTGGCTTTGAAGTATCAAAACACAACCATTTCCTTCTGCTTACTGTCCAGCATATCGTATTGTCTCAATAAAGGCTTCACATTCTGCATTATCAATTATGATAATGTTCTTAGTCTAAGCAGTCAGATGACGCTAGACAGTTGACTCCACTGTTGGCTTTGGAGCTTGACATGATAAAAAATTATGTCTCCCATAATGCTTGAGGCTTCTCATGTGATCACTGCCTTCCCAGCTAGTTGCAAATGTATTTGAATGTACACTGTGTGAGCAGAAGCCTAGAATATGAGGTACGTAAGAGCAGCTCTTAGGAGCCTCATCCTCACTTCCTGTTGAATTACGACACAGATCAGCCACATGAGGACATGACTCTTGGTGAGCAGACATCCATATAGCATGCTACACACAATGTCTTAAGGGCAGAAATAAGGGCTGTTTCTCAGAGCTGAAGATGATGTCTTCAGATTGTTGTTTGGTCCCACCAACAGTCTCATACCCCAAGATAATTCATTTAAAATGATATATGACATATAAATGCAGCAATTGGTCATATTTTGTTGAGATAATCAAATGTTCTTATGCCTTAAGTTTTTGCAGTGCATACTTCATGTAAAATATAGTGCTGCTTGGTTTAGATACAGAACTATTAATAGCAAAATATTGTGATTATTTTCCTTTCCTTTTCAAATTAAGATGTTAGTCAGCAGCCGATCATGTTGATAGTCACTGTCTGTGTGGCAGAGTTTGCTTATCGTGTTCCTAAATAGACTTTAGGGACTCAGAAGAAGTATTAACAAATTACATTTGACGCAGATCTGACTTGGTTCTGGCTGACTCATGCAGTGACTTTGGTTTTAATGTCTTGGAGAAAACTTTGCACTGAAGTGACTGGTAGCATTTTGGATGGAAAATCGGTTTATGTGTGGTTATAAAACTTTAAGATACCAAAATCATTCATCATGTACTAAATTTAACACAGAATATTCAGTTTTGACTTGCATTGCATGTAGAATTTAAAGCTCCCAGCAGAAACATCGTGCATTTATTCTGGCTCACTGTTCTGGAAAAAAGATATGATGGTAGACTAGGGGAACAAACTTGTCTTGCCTTTAGGCTGGCAGCTGAGGTACTAACAGCACCGAATTGAGCTCTGTTTGAAAGGGCCAGCCAGCAGGACAGGACGAGTGTGATGTTTTGTTGATTTGTTATGTGTGCAAACCGCTGCCAGGAGATTTAAAAGGCAGCTATCAGCAGTTAGCAGCTAACTCAAAGAACATGAACTGCAACCATAAATGTCGGCTAATTGAAAAAGCATTCAGTGCATTTGCATACATGCAGTAGTTGAGCTAAGCCCATAGCTCGGCTGATCAGTCAAGTTCTTGTCTTGTCTGAGTGTACATGCAGAAGAGAATATCGAATTTCTGACCAAGTACGTCTGACTGCGCCTCGATAGGCAGTGCTGTGTCCTTTTTAATATAGCGTGTATTGAACTACTTCCGGTTCACTGAAGAGGAACCTAACGAGGAATGAAGATGGCGGAGATGGATGTTGCTGTGGCTCTGTATGTTTCCTACATGCTTTGTGTGTTAATTATATTACAAATGCGGTCTACCATGACTCTTTTGGTTGCCGTGTTGTCTAAAGGAAGACGCTGCTGCCGTATGATCCAGATGACTGCACTGCTATACTGAACTGCTGCTACGTCATCTCCTTCTTCTTCCGGATGAAAGCCCACAAAAGAAAAAGTGGTGCATGCGCGGAACGCCGAGTCCGACTTCAGTTGGACTAAGTGGATACATGCAGCAATAGTTCGATTTTCAATCGAATTATCTAGGTGTTAGGTTAGTCGAGCTAAGGATAGTCCAGTTTCAGTCGGACTAAGCCAATGATTCGCTTTTCTCAAGCTGCATGTAAACGTATTGATTGAGGCTCGAGAGCACCTTTCCCTCGAGCAGAGGGCAAGATTAGCTGCCATGTAACAGGGTCAGCAAATAATTTTTATTGCCATGTTATTCCATTATTGTTGTGTTACAAACGCTGCTGACACATATGGCGTATGGCACACTAGAGGCTATAGCTGTTGTGTTACCCATCATGCCCTTCGCAACCTCTTTCTGGAACACTGGCATGCTATCTTAAATCATACTCTAAGGCAGCATTATGCTTGCGTTGTTTGGCTCTGTATAAAAAAGCAAAGCCATCATAATAAAAGTCTCTGTTGTGGCCCTATTGTTGGATCTTTGTGTTAAAACAGCTTAAGTAATATCTTGCCTTTGTAACAATGCATAGATGTCTTGCTCTATCGTGGCCCTGACATACTCCGAATAAGATTTAGTTTTGTCCATCTGTGAAGTTTGGATTATTTTCTGGAGTTGATGAATGGGCTTTGCCTGTCAGCTTGACAATTTTGTGATTTGTAAAACTGGGAGAACAAGTGTCAATAAATAATCCACCACTCCCAAGAGAAATAGAGCGGAGCCCTCTCTCTATTGTCTGATCTCCCCTTCTCTCAACATTTCACTCTCTCTCCCCGCTGGGGGAAAATGTGGAAATTATAAGTTATTATAAGTTAATTTCCTGCAAATTCCTCCTTGAAGCATTTATGGAACGTTTTGTACTGAGTGTTCTTGTACTAAGAGACGTGACAAACAATTATCCCCAAGGCATTAAAGTATTACATTCTCTTATACAGTCAGAAGTTTTTAAAATATAAACAATGTATTTCACAATTAAGTGTCAGTCATATGCAAAAATAATGGCAGAAATTTGGTCTATAGGTGTGAAGTTTGAGTTGGAAAGTGAAGCAAACAAATGGGATGTGTTTTACCAATAGGTATGTGTGGGAGTACTGTAGGTTTTATTTTCTCAGATTGTATAACCTGAGAAACCTTAGAAATAGTCAGTATGATGGTCTGACCTATTTGTATGTCTGCTCTTAGACTGCAGCCTAACATACTGCCAGTGAGCATTCTTACCTGCTCAAAACAAGTTCTTGTATGTAAAAACCTACTTGGCAATAACCTGCCTTGATGTACACTGCCCAGTGCCTTGGAGTTCAAAGAAAATGAGAAAAAGCATAAATGTTCCAGTTTTAGATTAATATATCACGTTAATGTGTCTGTTCCTGAGTTGATCGTTGTGTTATTGCAGTTCTTGTGGAAAGAAGAATATTCCTTATAGGCTAGTGTTATGTTTTCTGTAGTGCAGAGTCCTCAAATTTTGTGCACAATCCCTGGTGAGAGGAGTGTCAGTCAACTGTTGGGCAGAGTTTGGAAAGCCTCTTTTCATTTTCAGTGAACAGAAAATGTTTTTAGTCTTTAACCAATGGATGCAACTGCAAAATGCCGCTGAACTGCAATAAAAGGACCGATTTTTCAACACAATGCAGCTCTTTATTAAGGTTTTTAACAATTTAATCAAATAGTTCTCATTTCCTTAAACTGTGTTCTGTCAGATAATGCTTAATTTGGCTCTATTATAAATATATATACATATTGAAATGCGACACCATCAAAAGTTGTCAAACAGAGCTGTGAAGTTCATGAGTTGTAGAAACCAACAATGTTCTAAGACATACTATCATTCTTGCTTGTCTGTTACCACAGTCATTAAAGGGTTTCTAATTTAGTGCTATACTGCAACTTTATAAACATGCACCCATTCCATCTTTCCTCTCGTCTTTTTCTGATTCCAGAAGTTTTGTCCCTGAGTCATGGCGGACAGGAGAGCGGAGAAGTCATGTGAAGAAGCCAGCAGATCGTTAGTCAGGCGGGAGTACGAGGCGGCAGTCAGCCACAGCACAGACGCCCTGGTGGTCCTTGCACCCCAAGCCCCATCATCCGGTGCCCCTGTCCCGCCAAGCCCTCCAGCCCTTGTTGCTGCCGCCGGACCCCTCCGCAGCCGTGCCCTGCTCTACCGCATTGCTGCCTTCTTGCAGCTGGTGAGGACAGTGGCTATCTAAGCATTGTTGCTGCCCTAGCAACCATCTAAGATGATCATTATTTCTCTCACTCCCTGTTGCTAAGTGGCCCTCAAAGGAAGGGATACCTTTGTTTGAGAATCTTAAAAAATGATAATTGTGAGACAGAACTCTGAAAGGTCATATCACCAAATAGAATATAATTTTTTCCTGTTCCTGAATTAACACATTATGCTAAAATGACGTCGGCTGCTCGCTGTGCTTTTAAATCCACTGTAATCACTTCGTAAATTACCATGAAGAGAATGTTAGAAATGAGAACAATAAACCCTACTTTCGTCCTCCATGCTGCTGTTTTGTTATCTTCCCAGAGCACTAAAATTACACCAGTTACTTAAGCCCTAAGATTATGGAAACTTCTTAAGTCTATAATGATAGTGTGAGGGACTCCACTGTGAAGCAAAGATAGCCATTCTTGGAGCTTATGTGAAGTTCTGACCCTCGAACACAAAGTAGCCCCATTTGTTATGGTTACACTTCTTTTTTTTTCTTTTCCTCTGTCAACAGAAAAACTATGATGAAGCAGATGAAGACTGTAAACATGGTGAGTAGCATTTCAAATTGGAACCATCTGCTGATATTGTGTACAGTAGTTAGTTTTTTACCTAGTGGCAGACAGTGTGTGTACGTCTGCCAGGGTCAGGGATGAACCAAGTTCTGGCATGCCTTGGTCTCAGTGTAGCTGAGGAAATCTTGAATTTGGGCTTGTTTCTTTCCTTGATTTTTTTTTTTACTGCCTATTGGGTTGATGTCATAGCTTCATTACTACAGTGTTCTAGAGAAAATAATGTATTACATTCATTGAAAGAAACCTAACAGAATGTACTGAATGCCATCTCTCCCTACCTGTTCCCCGTGTATTCTTCATCCTGTCCCAGTCCTGGCAGAAGAGATTGCCAGGGGAGATGGTTCGCTTCAGGCCAGCTTGCGCTCCATGCTGTTGGATGGCAGCCTGCAGGAGGTGGCCAGCATCCTCTCTAAAGCCTTGTATGGAGAGCCAATGGTATGATTAACGGACAATGTATACCATGTATGCATACAGACAGTCAGCATACATATTGACTGTAAATAGACTGTAATAGGCTTAAATATTATGTCTGTTGTGGTCACGTTGTTCAAAAACAGAAGGAAAACCTATGTAGTGCATAAACATGACTGAGGGCACATTCACACCAGGATAGTCCGGGGGACTCCCTTCGATTGGGCGGGGAATGCCAAAAAAATTTCACACCTTCATTTGGTTCGTTTCACTTTCACACTGCACTTTTTAAAGTGGACCAAACCGCCTTGGCAACGCCACGCAGTTACAACAGCTGCTCTTCTTTTTCTGGCGGTATTGCCCGAAACGACCACTGACCAGGAAGAAAAAAAGCATGAGGAAGAAGAAAACCTGGCTCATTGATTGGCAGGGACCGAATATGGAAATCCATCCCCTTCAGTCGCGGACCTTAAAGGACAACTTCGGTATTTTTCAACCTGGGCTCTATTTCCCCATGTGTATGTGTGCGTATGATTCATGGGTACCACTTGTTCTAAAGTTGGTTCAGTATTGAGCCGCGAAACGAGCTAAAACGGTAATGGGGGCAAATGCGTCCCGTATAAAAGTGCTTTTTTCGCCACTGACCGGTTCAGATCACCAGTGCTATCTCTGTAAATAGCATATGGTAGCGGCCCTGGGGCAGTGGTGAGTGTGAATGAGTGGAGTCAGCTGTCAGTCAGTGTTGGAGCAGAAAGGCGGAAGTTGTCCCCGCTCGGTACTGTAAGTGAGTATGTGTGTGAAGTGTGTGTGTTACGCTAGAAGAGTCAGAGGACGGAGTCTTTTACGTGCTACCCCCTGGAGTGTTGTCGGAGTTTTTGGAGTGCTCAAATAAACGGGCCTTTTTCCTGAACGCAAGAACAGGATGTCACGCAACACCCCGTACAGCTTTCATAGGCTGCCTTTGTCGGACGGCGAGATGCTGAAGTTGTGGCTAGTTGTGCTACAAATGGATTCTCCCAAGATGACTACTGCCAGCCGAAGAAGAGAAGACATCCAATCCCGAAACACCTCTTCCTCAAGAAAACAGCTGTCCCACGAGTAGAGAGAGCTACAGACACAGTGGAGCAAAGCTCGTGACATCACACAGCCCAGAGGTAAGGGTAAGGCTAAGTTAGCATGCTATTTACAGAGATAGCACTGGCGATCTGAACCGGTCAGTGGCGAAAAAACACACACTTCACACACACATACTCATTTACAATACCGAGCGGGGACACCTTCCGCCTTTCTGCTCCAACACTGACTGATAGCTGACTCCACTCATTCACACTCACCACTGCCCCAGGGCCGCTACCATATGCTATTTACAGAGATAACACTGGCGATCTGAACCGGTCAATGGCGAAAAAAGCACTTTTATACGGAACGCATTTGCCCCCATTACCGTTTTAGCTCGTTTCGCGGCTCAATACTGAACCAATTTTAGAACGAGTGGTACCCATGAATCATACGCACACATACACATGGGGAAATAGAGCCCAGGTTGAAAAATACCGAAGTTGTCCTTTAATATATTGCTGTCGCAGTTCTTTTTTAACCTTGATGTGATACTGATCTGCTGACCGATTAAATCTGCATGCCGTGATCCTTTCGCTAAAAAATTTAAAAACTGTTTCTCCTGGTTCGGGCTGTTGGCATTTTTTTTTTTTTTTTACCCAAAATTCCTCCCTTTAGTTCACTTCCTCTCTTTGGTCCCCTGGAGAGTCCGCTTGCATTTCCCACCATAAGCAAATCGCACCAGGGTTCACTTGCAAGTCAACCGAGACCCCCAGTTTTCAAGCGGACCAGATTGTGCTTGTTTGGTCCGCACCAAAGTTCAAATGAGCGTTCACACCCCTCCAAACGAAACTGAACTATCCATGGATGCGGACCAGGGTTTGTTTAAAGGGGACCAAATATAGCGCCAGTGTGAATGCGTCCTGACTCTCATAGTGAATGATTAAGGTAGTCATGGTGGTTTTGTCAAATAGGCCACACATAGAACAAACATGTAGCCTATAAAAAATAATTGGGTGAGTCTGAAAACTGTTTCTAAATAGTTTATGTTCCACAGCTGATTGAATTAGTATTGATAAAAAGTTGATGTCTTCCAAGGCCTACTTCTGGACTAACAAAGGACCACATGAGCATAAATGTCTGCAATGAAGTGAGCTGTAGTGCTCTGCCTATAAAAGTGTTACTTTGTGTATAGAGAGGGTCACTTTTTCTCTGTTTCCACTTTTCCTCCCGTCTGACTTCTCCCTGCCTTTGCTAATCCTAACCACTGTCTTCATACATCAACATGCATTTTGCTGCCAAGGTGCCTCCCCCAGCTCCACTCCTCTCCTGTTTGCAACCACTTCCTGCCCACTTCAGCACACACACGCGCACACAGACACGTACACAGACACAAGCACGTATTCAAAGGTTGAGCTTGGCCCCAAGGTCATCCAACATTTTATGCAAGTGGGGACAATCCTGTTTGCTAGGCGGGTTTCTCTGTCCTTCTGTTTCTTTTAGAGTCACACAAAAACAAACATTTTTCTGATGTAGCTTGGGCTGATTATCTTTCCTCCTTTGACTGCTTTCCTCCTTTTTTACTCCCACTTTTTCACACGTCATTGTAAGCCTCCCATTCCGGCCTTAACTCAACCTCCCTTTCTTTGTATTTTAATGTCAACCCAGCTGTAAAGATAAACTGCAGTTAGTTTTTTTAGTTCGGTGTATTTTCACACTAAAAGTGGATAAAACTATTCTGTGAAATCACTAACTCCTCTCATGCACAGGAGAAAGAGTATTTGAGATTTAGAATGGGGACACTAGAGGAGGCATACAGCTATTCTTTTCTTATTTGTTTGCCTCTTCTTCTTGGCCCTGGGTGGTGCTGGCACTCCACACTGTGGAGTTGAGCTGTCCTGTGGAGTGTCATACAAGTGTGGTGTCATTTGATCCACAGCTATTAGGATGTAGCTAACTGCCAACTGTTTTCCTTAGATCTCATTCAATCAATGAGCGACACTTCATTTAAATTTTCATTTCTTTTTTTTAAAGCTTGTTCTGAATGTATTAGGTTACTCAAATCAGGTTCCTGTATATGGATTTAAAAACCAGACTAGAGAAGCTTTGTTTGGAGCTGACACAGTTGTGCTCATTTAGAGTACGGGCAGCGATAATGTTGCTTAAAATATAATATCCGTAAGTGTAAAAATCAAAAACAGGACCGCCACTCAGCTGGGACTGAACATTTTTATTGACACACCTTTGCTGCATATTTGAATGCTTTATCAAAGCATCATCCAGATCTGCCTTCAGAAGACTGACAGGAGAAATGAGCATCTTTATTTTGGCCCTCTGTTAATCAAAGCCTTTTAAGAAAAATCCATTGTTATCAATTTTGATTCTTAAAAGTTTCTACAGTAGAAGATGCCTTAATAATCTCCACAAGACCCTGAAGATTCAGCATATTTCACAGGATTCTGGCATCAGGTACAGTTAGTGGCAGGATATTGAGGTGACAAAATTTTAAGAGCAACATAAAAATTGCAAGCACTTCATCTAGATAATGCATGAGGTTAGAAGTTTATGTCACTTGTGTCAAATATTCACACTTGTGTAAAGCAACTTTTAAATATTAGGATGGTGATAGATTAAAATCTTGCCAGTAGCAATCTGGAAATGACATGATGAATATGATTACACCAAACATCTGCCAGCGTATTCCAAAGCAGTGAGTTTATAGTTCATAAACATGTACTGAAAGGCCTGATTGCAGCATGTTGTTGTAATGATGATATTTTTCTGCTTGCTTTCACAGAATGGTATTGTCGCAAAAGACCTTACCAGATTAAAAATGCTCTTGTCAGAGATAGAGGTGAGTATCTCTGGTTGCAGGGCTGCAAACCTGTTGTGCTTTCCTGCCTCCTTTGTTCATGCCTTTTGGTGCTCGCTGGTTTTACAGACAATGGTTTAATGCTTGCAGGCGAGAGTCATAAAGATGACTAATGGCCTGATTCCAGTGCTAACTTAATTATTTTGTGCTCCCCTGCCTAGCTTGTAGCTGTTGTGGATTTATTAGTCATTTGTCTGTAATAAGTCCAGTGGTCCAACTGCTTGTATGGCTATGTTAGTAGTCCACATAATAATCTTTCTGTCCCCACCTCCACCCACCCTGCCCCATCTTTGTCTCTGTCAGGCTATAAATAGGGAGATGGCACCAGAATACACAGATGACCAGGAGGAAGGTGAGCAGATCTGTTGCATGCTTCCCTCAACTTGAAAAGAAGGAATGATGATGTGCTTTGTACCAAACATTCACACGTGTTGAAGCACAGTAGATATTATTTAGGCTTAGAAAGTATTTACTCAGCCAGTTGGCAGCTTGGCAGCACATCCTAAACCGGTTACAAGCTGGCTGAATCTCATGATGTTTTTGAAGGCTTTGGCTTAGTGTCATATTGACCACTTGGCTGTGTGTGTTTGCAGAGGTCCAAGATGGCTGGCAGTTCCGGCCTCCTCCCCGAGGAGTCACCAGCAGTGAGGAGTACACCCTCTGTAAAAGGTAATGCAGACTGGTTGGTAATTTTCACAAAGGTGTGAGTGATGAGGAATTCATCTCTCATCCAGAATATTGCTGAGAAAGACAGGCTTTTGATTGTAAAGTGACTAATAAAGCTTTTAGGAAGTCATTATGTTATTCATTTACCTCAAAGGCTATAAAAGTGTGATTCACGATGCCATTAATTAAGATTTTATCACACTTCACTTTTACAAATATTAGTGTACATCCTGGATATTTGTGCAGAAGGATGCCAACGAATCCGATGAGCCTTAAGGCCTTTGCACACTAAGTCCTTATTTTGCATTTTTTAAACCACATAAACCTTGCACACTGACTCCGATGCATTTTAATGTTCTAATTGTTGCTAGAAATCTCAATATAAGATGAAATGGAGTTGTTAGGCGAGGTGAGGTGAGGATGACTCTGTGGTCCTCTCACTTCTTTAAAGTTTTGGAGAGTTTTGCCCGCTAAAAAAGAAGCAACAGCATTATCCTGATCATTTCCAGGGCTATTTCAGGATGTCAGGTTTAGTTTGATGCGCTGGCAACACTGAAATCATACATTAAAAGTAAGACCATCAATTTCTGTAATCCATTTGATCCTGAACAATGGTTAGCGGTAGGTTTAGGTAGGGACACACACACACACACACACACACAGATGAATGCAGAAAATTGAACAACAATTCTGAACACTTGAAACACGAACGAAAGATTCAAAATAGGTGTGTAATGTAATTGACACACCATGTGGTTAAGTTTATTTTGAAACGTGTGATAATTTTTGATGAAAAGGCCCTTAGACCTGGTCTTGTGAGTTTGAGTTGTCTGCCAAAGCCCTTACAGTAGTATATGGCCCACTGCAGCACTGCAGTTAGACAGTTGTATTGGTCTGCTGCTATTTCAAGCTTGCATTTGCCTTTTATTGAATATTGTATATCCACAAGTCTGCTAGGGACTGCCGACATATCAGGAATTTTAAAACTTTTAGTTCGTGATTGTGTTGAATGCCGTTTCAAAGGATTTTTGGCCCTGATAAGACACCAATTGTTTGGATTAAAAAGACATGAATATAGTTCTGGCAGTGTGTGTATGTACATCATCAGATTGCTAATTTTGTCTGAATAATAGTTTCTATATTTACCGTAATATACAAGAAAGCAATGCAGCAAATTCCTCACACTGGGAATGCTGTAACTACCAAATGTTTGGTATTCTTGGTGATTTCATGACGTAACACAATGAGATGAAGTAATGATGATATTTTTGGTTGTTGTTGAGTAAATGATTGATGGACTGCTTGTCGCAGCACCAGTTCAGCACACATTTGGTCTTTACACTAGGTACTTGGAGCAGGGCCTGTGTCGGTATGGGGCCCAGTGTACATCAGCCCACTCTCAGGAGGAGCTGATGGAATGGCAGAAGCGCTATGCGTCACGCCTCATCCGGCTCAAACAGCAGCAGGAGAGCAAACACTTCACCGAGAACTACATGGAGACCCTGATAGAGAAGTGGATGAATTCCCTTTCCCCAGAGAAAGTGGTGAGTGCATGCAAGCTCAAAAGTGGATAAAAAAACAGACAAAATTTCATGCCAAAGTGAGAGTTAACCTCTTAGAAGAACCATCCAAACTCAAACTTGTGTTTGGTACTGTGCTGGAATTTTGTTAGAATCCACTCCGAGCCTTCATAACCCCCTCACCTTGTAAATCTAGAGGGGAGCAGTACCAACACACTTGTACAACCCAGCAAATAGCTTTTGTATGCACACACCAAACATCGACTAATCTAGCTGAGTTGTATATTTTAGATTTACCAGATTAGTTGTTCATGTGCTCATCTGTTAAGGTTACACTAAGATATACAACCTTTTGTTCATCCCTGTTTGCGTATCATCATTTTATAACTAAAAGTGACAGTTTACCCCCCAGTATCAAAAATACATATTTGTCCTCTTACCTGCAGTGCTATTTATCAGTTTAGATTATTTGATATGAGTGGCCAAGTGTTGGAGATAACGGCCGTAGAGTTGTCTGCCTTCTCTGAATATAATGGTACTAGATGTATTTTCTTGCAGCTTAGAGCACCACAAGCCGAGTGAAATCTAGTTCCATTATATTTGATAAAAGGCAGGAGGAGACACATTCATAAGCCTTTATAAAACAAATAAGTCACATAGCTGGCTCTCCACTGTTATGATACATACAGAATGTGATACAGGTGAACGTTATCAGAGGTTACATTCAGTTATATTATGTGCAGCAGTGAATAGTGGACGAGTTCTTGTAATAGATTTCTGAGTGCATCTTCAGTCTAACCATGTGTTTGTTTTTTCTAGCTAAGTGACTACTTAGAAGGAGTGAATGTAGAAACCAGCTCCAGCCTCTCTGTTACTGTCACCACCAAAAAGTCCTCCCACTCCTGGACCTTCTCCTTGTTGTGCAAGGTAGGATGAAATGTTGAATACTAGGGTACATATTGAGATGTTTTCTTTGTCTAACCAGATCACTAAAGGCAGTATTCTGTATTGCACACCTGCTGTTGCTAGTTGGTTGTAATCATATTTTGATCATGTGAATGTTCTGATTTTCTTTCCATCTCTGTCTCCTTGACTAGCCGGCTAGAAAGCTGTACCGCATCGCCCTGCTCTATGATGCCCACCGACCACACTTCTTCCTCACAGGGGTGTCAGCTGGGGAGCGGCTGCAGGCCCTCCCCAAAGGCTGCCAAGAGTGGACTCCGGGAGAGGAAACAGGAGGTACGTCCTGTTCAAAGTCGCTACAGATCCCAGACAGTGCTGTTTTTTTGTTTTTCTTTGGTGTTAAGTGATGTATTGGCCCTATCTTGCACTGGTCTAAAGTTTTAACTGAAAATGTCTGACATTCACAGGCAAGTGAATATTTCAATTTGTGTTGTCTTTTTGTTTCCTTTCATCTTTCCCTCAATGTTTAAGTTACGTCTCTCTTTCGTTTTGTCCGTACAAGATTGCAAGTTTAAATGCATTTAACCTAAACTTTTCTGTTCTGACAGTGGCAGCAGACAACGGCCTTGACCACTGTATCTACAAGGTGGCAGTGGGCTTCAGCACAGAAATCTTTGGTACCTTCCGACAGACCGTTGTTTTTGACTTCGGCTCAGAACCTGTGCTGATGCAACGGATCATGGTGGATGCTGCCTCCATTGAAGGTATGCTAAGAGCAAGATGGTCATCCAGAGGGCTTTGAAAGGTTGTGTCAGTGTATATAAAACGATTTTAGGGAGTGACTGTTGTGACACGACTGTTTTAACTTAAAAACATAATCTATTCAGACATCCACTGCACAGTATATCAAACACAGTGTCACATCAGTGTCAAGTTGTAGATTATTTAATCATGTTTGGACATGAAGTATGTAAAGGTAGTTTTGTCTTGGATGCACACGCAGTGAACTCAAATGTTCGCCTTATGGACAATAAACTCTATTTATCTACCCTTGTTTTCAGACCTGGAACACCTGATGGCAGCCAGGCAGCAACTCTTGATCACTGCAAAGCGCTGGGACTCATCCTGTAAGACCATCGTAGAGTTCTCTCCCAATGAAACGATGGCAGATTTGGAGCGCAGCCTCCTCGCCCGCTATCAGATCCCTCTGTCGGCCGACCAGCTCTTCACCCAGTCAGTCCTGGACAAGACTCTGACCAAAGACAACTACCAGGCCCGACTGCATGACCTGCTCTACATAGAAGAGATTGCACAATATAAGGAAGTTAGCAAGTGAGTATACATGTTTTCATGGTTTCTTCTTTTTGGAATAGCAAAACAGATTTTCCATAACTGTGCCTCATAAAGCCTGAACAACACTCATTGATATTTGAGAAATTAAAAACATATACTAACAACATATAAAGAAAATATTAGCATGAAATGTAACTAGATATGATCTTGTATAGTGATGTCAATGCTTTATGGCAAAAAATGATTGGTTTGTAATGTCTTTGGTTGAGGAAGCACGTGGAATTTTCAAATCTACTGTGATTGTGCTGCGCCTCAAGAAGAAACTAAATGTACAATCACATCTGATATGTGCATATCTGCATATGTCTTATATTACAGCTAATTTAAAATTTAAAATTTTTGAGGCGCTGACAGCAAGAACTAATGCAAACTACTGACATTTTGGAGCTTTGAGTTGAAACTACTGCAAAAGAATATTCCATGAAATATAGCTTGGAAATTTTAAGTGCATAAAAAAAATAAAAATGTATATATTTGTTTAAATTAAATTAATTATAGCTTGACCAAATGTTGTGCTTGTTTTACCTTACTTGACACCACAATAGTGTAATGTATTAATTTGTTTTATTTATTGATTGCTTATTTGTAATCTGACCACTCAGAATACATAGTCATTGTTACAGTACATATACCTCTATGGACCTTGTCTGAGGCTGAGCGGTGTAAATATTTAGTGTTAGGAGATGTCGACCTACCACAAGGTGTCAGACTTGACCTTCTTTGTGAATTTGGGAGTATGAGAGAGAGAGAGAGTGTGCATCTCACACACAGCTTGACTCACAGTTACATTGCCATCTTATTAACGTGTCTAAGGCAGTCTTTGGAGGTGGATGAGGAAAATAGTGTTTTCTTCTTCTAGAATGGACACAACTTTTTTGTTTCAATTCCTTACCTGCTACTCCACTGGTTTAACTAAGTGATGCAGGCGAAAGCACAGTAAATGCTTAATCCCACATTCGGTGATACTAGTGTAGTGAAGCCTCCCCCACCACTTTAAATGTCTCAGCTTAAATATTAGTTTGATCTTGTCTAATGACTCACCGTGTCATTTGACTTGGTAAGGAATGGAATCAACCTGCAGTCGAAAATCTCTGCCGCATTTCCAATGTGCATATGGATGATCTCTCTGTCTATTAAACCATCCATGTTCTGGCAGGTTCTATTGCTTTTCAGGGCTTACTGAGCTAAGCACGGATTCCCTCCATGGGATCTGCACCATAGAGGGGCTCCTACAGTTGTTACATGTTAACTGCAGTTGCTTCATGTCACAGTATGCGACATTTAAAACATCAATTTAGCAGCAAACCACTATTTGCCATGTAAAGATATAGTGGCATAGTGGTGTCCTCAGTAGAGAATAAAGTCATGCTATCTCTATGTGTGTTGTAATCCAAGCTTCTCTGTTCTTTGTTGTGGTAGACAGTCTGGCCACGCATGCATATTAGTGCACTGGAGTATCCCACTGGCTAACTAAATGTGGCCACTCTGCACTGAGCTCATATGATGGTTACTGCTGATAAGTGTCCCAACCCATGGTAGTGGGACGCCCTCTAGTTTCCCCCTGGTTAACACATTACCTCTGTCTGCACTGCTACTGTTATTAGCTCCATAAATTCATGGAGTTAGCATCGTTACCTAATAGGTGCCGCATTGTCGCATACAGTTTTTTTTATTGCAACCCATAACTTCAAAATGTCTCTATTAGGGCATCCCTCTGAATTCTCTCACACCAGATTTATTTCTTGTTTGATAAATGTATCAGGAGGTCATGAATATGGAGTGAGTCATGGAGAACCCAGACTGTCTTGCTGTCTGTTTTTGTCTGAATGTTTCCCGCTTTGAGAGAATAGCCAGAACGGCAATGCAAAACCAAAACAAGAGACCCCAAGAGTCCCTTTGGTCGTGAAACTCCATTGGTTTGCAAATACAGAATGTGTTAACTTATCTGCATATGTCAATCATCCATCAGACTTCATCACCAATATTGCGTCCTATTTCATCACTTGAAATCCAGCAGAGACCAGAGAGGCAATTTAATACAGTCTGGAACCAAAAGGACCCAAAAGTGCTTAAATCTTCCACTCAGTGTGTGCATGGATGAGCTTTGTGCAAATGTTTTTTTTTTTCTTCTTCTTCTTCGAAGGACTGACATCAAAAAAGACATATTTTAGGTTTCCCACTGACAAGGTTTTATTTCAGTGACCTTACATTTTGAAGTTTTTGTAAGGCTTTTACAAAACGACAGTGATTTATTGTGTTTTAAACTTTCTGTCTCTGTCAAACTCTGTCTTTGTATTCTCAGTGGCAAATGCACCAACCTGCCAACAAGTGATGCCCAGCTTCAAAGTATTTTTCTCACTATCACCAACCCACACTGACCATAAGTGTATAGCTAATGTTTAACATGTGTGCTGCCAGCATCAGTGAATGTATGCAGGTCATTATGGTGCTACTGTGGTGGAATCAAAGCTCACAGAATGCTCAAATGCCTGAGGCATGCATGTATGATGCACTTGGAAATGTGGTCCGACTAAGAGATCTCAGCTAGCATACATTTTCAGTGGGTGTGTCTAGTGTTGGTATGGAGCTAGTATCATTCATGACTAATCACATTGACTCCACTTGTCCATTTGAAAGCAAGACTTAAACCACTTTGATGCACTGACCAGCTCCTCTTGAGAGAAAATGTATAATAGAGTGTGAATATTTAGCAACCTAAGTATGAATATGTGGCAAAAGGCTGAACTGCCGGAGAACAGAATAGTTTCGGTGTTTAAATGTCTGCAGTGTGCCTCACTCACAGAAGAACATATAATGATATTGCTATTAGTTCGTTAAGAATCTACCACAAATATTATAGTGTTTGTTAAAGGCATGGGAGCATATAAAAATTTCATGTCACAATTATTTTGGTCAAAATGATTCAGAATATTATCCCGATTATCTTCAAAATATGCTTTAATATTATTGGAGTTTGCGGAGTTTGCATGTTCTCCCCGTGTCAGTGTGGGTTTTCGATGGGTACTCCAGCTTTCTCCCACAGTCCAAAGACATGCAGGTTAACTGGTGACTCTAAATTAGTCATAGGTGTGAATGTGAGTGTGAATGGTTGTCTGTCTTTATGTGTCAGCCCTGTGATAGTCTGGCAGCCTGTCCAGGGTGTACCCCCCCCACCCAGTGTCAGCTGGGATCGGCTCCAGCCCCCTCAACCTTTAACAAGATGAGCACTTACGGAAAATGACTGAATGATTGATTGACTTATTGGAAGTGGCTTTTATACTATTGGAAATGGTATATCTTTCAGTATGAAATGTGCTGGCACTTGATAAAGATCTTTTGCATTTTTTGAGGTTGGTTCACATGCAGCCTGTTTTTGCAGAGTCGCTTTTATTGTTGGTTACCCAGCAGTCTCTTGGGTGCTGCTAGACACAATATTCATGATTATCCCCATAATGGAAATTCACTATGACCAACTTACTGTGTTATGCAGTCTGTGATAAAATCATATATCCTCCTATCCCTAGTTTGCTATAATTTTTAATATTGATTCATAAACTCAAGCCAGAGAACTGACACAGCAAAATGTCCATGTTTGTCCCCCCAGGTTCAACATCAAAGTGAATCTCCAGCTCGTCACCAGCTTCATGCTGACAGGCATTTCTGTTGGAGCCAAGTATGCCCAGAATGGACAGCTCTTTGCACGGTTCAAACTCACTGAAACACTTTCTGAGGTAACTGGATTGGTTGAGTTGACAGTTGCAATCAGCTTGCAATAAACCACATTGGTTTCTGCCTTCTCACTATTAACTACTCATTGGTGGCACTTGGAGCCCAAAGGTGTCAGCCAGCGAGCTCTCCTGAACAGTACTTTTTTTTCTCACTTTAGGACACATTGGCTGGACGGCTAGTGATGACCAAGGTAAATTCAGTCCTGCTGCTGCCATTGGGCCGTGAGGGGGTTAGCAGCCAGCCGCCCCCTGGGGTCAAAGAGCGTGTTTACGAGGCTGTGATCGAGGAGAAGACCAAGGACTACATCTTCCTAAGGATCTGCAAGGACTGCTGTGAGGAGCTGGGGCTGCTGCCTGACAGAGAACTACAGGTATGTTCTGCACCGAGGGACAAGTAGACACTTCTGTACTGAAGCATAAGGTGTCCTTGTCTTGCTGTCACCACCAGATATCAGATAAGAGCGGTGGATTGACAGCAGTGGAAAGGGCAGGTGAATTATCTCTTAACATATGCATTATTTTACACCCCAAGAGATTTTAGTTAGCATCCATCTAACGATTCTTTCTAGCCCGATATTTTGACCTTGAAAAACTTTTAGGTTTAAAGGTTCACGTATTGATTAGCATTTTAACAAAAAGTTAAAAGGATAGAGAAGGGCCATCTTTTCAGGCATCTATGCAAGCATTGACTGTTGTGTTTTGTCTCAGGCTCTGTGGTTTAGAGAAATTTCCCTTTATTGAACGTCTCTACCTTTGGCTGCCTCAGCTTGATATTTCTCTCCCCTCTAGCCCAAACGTCAGCAGATGAAGCAAGACGTTGTGTTAACAGTTATCAAAACAACCCTCATCCTATCACTGTGGGAGCATAATCTGCTTATTCTTCTGCATACGCTTCTCCTGCCTGCTTACGTGCTACAATTTCATTTCCCTATCTCCACTGTGGGCTCTTAAAATATTTCACACAGCCTTGATGTTTCATGCACTTCTTGCTCTCTCATATCTCAGACTCTCCCGTTCTTGTATTCGTTGTTTATTTCACTTTCCTGCTTTGTCTCTCCTCCCCACTTTCCTCCTTACTGTGTTCGTGCTTGTTATCTCGTTTATTTCTTCTCTCTCCTTCTGATTTTCACACTTCTATCCTAAAGGCATTGGATACTTTATAGTATACCTGCTCGGAGCCTGTCTTTTATGATGACGAGGCCCGCCAGCAGTGGAAACGAAATCTTAGTGATTACATAAAACTGGCTTAAAGGAAGGGATTAAATAGAAATGTAAATGGACCAAGGCTCCCCAAGACATCACGGTAAAAATACAGTTAAGTCGTGCCAAGGCCTGTGTTAACTAAACATGATGCAGCATTGTGCAACAGACACTTAGGTGGGGGTGTTGCAGGTGTTACTGTCCTGCCCAGTCTCCCAGTCCTCCTCACAAGGAAGAATCTTGATCAGGGGTTGTACAAGGTGCTTGAGGTGGACTCAAAAATTTAGGTTATGGAATACCTTGAACATTTTTTTTTTACTTGGCCAAGAAGGTACCTGAATAAAAATCAGTCGAGAACAGAACGCTAGATTATTTCATAAAAACGTATTAGGAAAATGTTTCAGACTATGAAGCCAAGAATGGCAGTGCTTGTAATTATTTTGTAGTGCTGTATGAGATTGGAGTGCCAACAGGTCGGTTATGCAGCTATATAGTTGGCACCAGGATGTTTTGCTTGTGAGCTGTAATTCGGTAGTATATAAGCAGCTAGCTCCGCTTGTTTTTCACTGAACCCAAGCAGAGCAAGCGTCTGCCAGCCGCTGGACTTTACAGGTGTTGATCCCTCCAGGACTCCACTCAGGTCTGGGCTGTCTAAAGAGGGTTTATAGTTTGATTGCTGTTTGACAGGCAGATATGAGTCTCCGTTATCTGTCAGTGCAGCGATGCTGTAAGTAAACAGTCTCTGACAGAGCTGAAAGTCAGGTTTTAATCACAGACTCTGTGAGAGGACATGAGTTTAAAACCTCCAGACTAACATGCCGCAGATTTAAAAAGAATTCGGGCTGTTATGAAGTGATAGTTCTGGTTCTTAACAGTGAGATCGATAAGTCAAAGTCGACAGTGAACTTGGGTACAAAATTTGTATAGTTGTCTCAAATGAGTTATTTATGGTCTCAGCGTTTGAAATTTTGAGCTTTTTAAATGATGATCAGTAAGTGTGTGCTTGTAAATCATCCTTCACAACTGTCATAAACTCGGCTTGAGAAATGCAGGTCTGTTAATGTGTAGAAGTTATTTGTGGTTGTAGAAAAAAGTATTTCAAAATGAAATGTGCACAAATCATATCAATAAGGAGGATTCAGAAACACTTGAGTGCTTTTGAATTCATGAGTTACAGCTGAAACAAAGAGTTGTGTAATCATTGCACCGTGCTCTGCTCTTTGTATTTTCCTGCTTTTTTGTCATTTGCCAATCACATGAATTATAATAACCAGTTAATTAATAATAACTTCATTCTAGGCCCTGGTAGCTTCTGTTTGCTCCATTTGTGAATTCTCTTGCAAAAGATGGTTGTAGAGTAAAAATCTCATCCTTGAAATTGGAATGAGTGCTTGAAAAAGCACTTGGATGTCCTTGACTTTGACTTGCTCCAGTCAGTACGAACCCTGTTGACACCACCGTGATTCACTTTGTGGACCTAGTTTTGGCAGAATGTGGTGATTATTTTGGGATGTTTAGGATTTGCGGCAGCACTTTGATTTGTGTGATGCTGACATTAGTGCACATGTACATATGTATTTTTAACTCATGTCTACACAATTAGATTTTCTATAGGTGGGCTTCAATCAGGGTCCAGAGAGATCTAATGAAAGTAGTTAAAAGTGGGATGGATTAAATCTTGTACTCGTACTTATTAGTATTTTAAATCTGTTTACAACCCTAGCAAAATAGATTTTGTTTCAAGGAGATTGTGTTGGATGGAATTACTTTGTATAGTGTTTAACATAGTATCCGTCCGTGGGTATGCTGCATTGATTGCTTAGTTAACTTTGGGTATTGCCTCTCTGTTAGGTGGAGCTCCAGTTCCAGCTGAACAGACTGCCACTCTGTGAGATGCACTATGCCCTGGATCGCATCAAAGATAACACCATCCTTTTCCCCGACATCGGCCTTGTCCCCACCATCCCCTGGAGCCCCAACAGGTATGTATTCCACCAAGTACACGGGCACGCTGATTAAGAGCTGATTCAGAAATTAGTTTTACATTGATGGCAGCCATCAATATTTGATTCTCATTATGGTTTTCACCTCCTTCGGGCATGTTGTCTCACTGCACTGATTCAGTGGGAACTCTGGGATATATTATTACGTCTGAAGGTTTGGGGGGGGGGGGGGGGGGGGGGAAAAAAAAAAAAAAGTCAAGGAAAATGAAATAAACTCACTTTACACACATAGCAGACTGTTTCATGTTGCTGAGAGGAAGAGGGAACCTTCTTTCATATTGCAGATAAGCGCTGTAGACATGAGTAAATATCTGCCAATCAACAACTTGCATTTTTATTAACCGTGAGGGAAGATGTTTGCACACGGCATGTACACACATTCATGCATAGTTAATACTGCTAATCCTTAACACAGTTATAATACCAGAAATACCTGCACGTCACATTAGCTTGACAAATACCCTGACAGAGGGGACACCACATCAGTTTGAGAGCTGACCGAATATCCCTCGCCTTGCTGACTTGGCGGCCACTCTGAAACACTGGCAGCTCCTTGCAGCTTTAGATATCTCCCTCTGTGGCAGGACAGGTGAGGGGAGCGAGGCAGTAATCTTTATTGACTGGAGCCAAATGTAATCCCCTGTGATTTTCAAGGCTGCTGCTTCATCTTGTCTCCAGAAAATGATTGGTGTAGACTTTTGTTTTAACTGGAGTTTGGATAAGTGAGGGTGTTTGATTAAATGTGGGCCAAGGAGTGAATTTACCTGAAGTTTAAGTGCACAGTTTTTGCAGTTTTTTTCATGGTGGTTGTTTGAATTTTAACAAAAGTGATCAGGAAGATACACCCCAAGTGGTGGTGCTGTATAGCTGTACGACTTCATATTAACACACCCTTGGGCACTTCAACCACTAAGTGAATAAAAGCATTGCATCTTGGGTTGTGATTTGAGGCTGCACTGTAGCAGTATGCAACGTTAACATCTTAATGTCTTAATGTCTTAGTCATTTTATAACTGATGGGAATGTGGCACATGGTCACACCTTAACTTTTGATTTGTTTTCTAGACATCAGTGAGTGACCGTACTGTCTAGTCCTCTCCACATCTGTGGCCTTAGTAGTTGATGATGTTTAGACCTAAGCAGTGTGAAAATTACTGATGCCATATTTATACTGACAGTCCTTGGTTGTGACTGTAGGCTTCACATTTTCACAGTTTAAAAGAAAAAAGATAACTTCTCTTTCCAAACCATGTTTAATGGTCATTTTGTGCTTAGTTAAAAGATTATCTTAGACCTTTCGTATAAAAAAAAGTGATGGCAAAATGGGCATCAAATGGCCATTTTTTAATTATACCCCCGTGCCTCATTTAAATGAAATTCTGAGATTGGCAAGTGTATTATGGCTTCACAGAAATTATTTTTTTCTTATTCATGTAACTTTCAGAGTAGCAAAATGCATAATTAGGCTCACAGTTGCAAGTATCAATCACACTTTATTCACTTTTTGAATTAATCTTATTAATCTCTTTTTGCATTCACCTTAATTTGCCAGATGTGATTGCATTACGTTAATAGATGAGCTGCTACACCTCTCAGTCTAGTCAGTAATGGAGAATTAAGCTGTTGTAATCAGTCATGTTAAAGGGGCTCTGTGCAAAATTCAGAGCATTTGAGTTGTATGGACACAGCTCTTAGCAGGGAGGTGGCTTAGCCGGTGGCTAGCAGCTAACAGCGCTTCAATAGCAGCTCTGAACAACATTAACAGTGTTGACGGGGCTTACCACAACAAACCACAGAGAAGCTTAAATTACAACACGCACAGAGGGAGCATGACTTCTCTCTCTGGGCGCTATTACTCCACTATATCTTTACGTAACAAACAGTGGTTTGCTGCTATATTACTGCTCTGAATGTCACATACAGAACCTTTAAGGTAGGGTGGAACTCAAACAAAATAGTACTTTAGCTGTAAATGATACATTATCAAATGATAAACACTTGGGTGTTGAATTCTCCACCAGAACTATCAGGTTGTAATATTGTCTCAGCTTTACGATTTTGCTCACTTAGTTTGGATGCAAGAACACAGTATATTGTATATCTTGAGTACAGAAAAGTTTTATTTGATTCCTTTACTCTTGAATACATTTGTGGAGAAAGTATAGTTGGCATAAAAAAGTTTTTTCATCACTCATCAACAGTACCCCTTGATTTCATCCATCCAACTCTTATATAAAACACATACACACTTACACACACACACACACACAAACACACACTCTCTTGAACACTGAGATCTCTCTCTCAGCCCCCCAACTATGTCTCAGTTGGAGCTCAATCAATTGGTGTTGGTGGATTCACAGCTTTAGAGGATGCAGTGTTCGTAATGAGGACAGTGATGCTAGGAGACACGCACACACACACGCACACATATACGTTACATGCACGATACCTCACACTTTCATGAGTATTTGTGAAATCACATATGTGCATCTCTCTCCTCTACCTATCTGTATTCAACACACATACACCCACCCCTGTGTGTTAGTTCATATGGACTGCTCCTCTTCACAGTGTTTTTCATCTGTTTGGTGCTGCCACTTTTTATGGTGGGAAGGTGCCTGTTGCACATTTTTGGGAAATGCGTTGGCATCTTTTCTGTTTTTTCTCTGCCATGGATTTTTGTAAATAAAAACAAAAGTTGAAATTTCTTAAATGTTTTTTCTGGAGTCTGAGATGTGTACGTTGCCTATATTTATGGGTTTCTGACTAAAGCAGAATGAACATGCTCAGGGACTGACTGAGTAGTATTACTTTTGTTCCAACTTCTTCACTACTTTCCCACTTTCTACCCATGTGGTTTCCCTCTCTCTGTAGCCTCTATGCTTTTCTTTCCTGCGCTCCCTTCTCCCCCCCATAACACATCTTTGCTTTTTCCCTCATTCCATTTCTGTCCGCCTACATCTTATTTGCAGACACCCCATCCACCACACATTCTCCCTGGTGACACAATCGTAGTTGTCATTTTGAGTCCGTATGTATGCATACATACATTTCCTTTCATTCTGCCCAAGAATTTTTCTTTCTCATTTTATCTGTGTCCCACTGAGGTTAATTAGGTTAACAGAATGTTTTAATTTGTCTCTTATGTTGTTTAAAGCGACCACTTGGTTATTAGGCAGTATTTTATTGAAAGACTTGAAAATGGCTACATTCAGACAAAAAAACTAGTTCTAAAAGTTCAGTAAAAGTTGATCTAATGTATCCTCTAATGATTTCCCTGTCCTCTTCCTGCCCTCAGGCAGTGGGACGAGCAGCTGGATCCCCGTCTGAATGCCAAGCAGAAAGAGGCCATCCTGGCCATCACCACACCCCTCACTGTTCCCCTGCCCCCAATCCTCATCATTGGGCCCTACGGCACCGGCAAGACCTTCACCCTGGCACAGGCTGTCAAGCACATCCTCCGCCAGGACCACAGCAGGTTTGTTTTCTTGTTTTTTTTCTCAACATCTGTTGACAATTTTTGACCTATGTTGACAACTAGTAGTAAATGTGCAACTGTTTAAAACATGTAAAATCTCATTTCATCGTGGAGATGTGCACAGTGTATTGATTCGCTTATAATAATATGTTCCAAATCCTAGACAGCATTAGACTCACAAGTCAGTCTTTAGATGCTTTGCTTAACTAAAGACTGATGTCTTTCTCCCTGATTTTGTGTTTAGATGGGCGGATACAATTTCAGAGTTTAAAAAAAACTCCCTACGTTGCAGAACCAATAGTAAATCTGCAGGGCGGTCCTTCAGCTGTTCGCTGAACTCTTGAGCTTGTAAACAGAGTCCCACTAGAAACACGTGTAGCGGTACAAAATGGCTCAGCCGTGCTCGCAGAAAACGCCATCAAAGTTAGTGGATGTTTGTCGCGTTTACGGCGACACATTCTCGCCAACTAAAAGAAACAAACATAATCTTTTACAAGGCCATGACTCATCTGTCCGACCGGACTATAGAGGGAATCGCCTTGTTGTTTACAAATACTCCCGGGTAGAAAACCAGCAGAGCTTTTAGCTATATATATATAGCCTATATATCACATTTTTCACATCACTGTACCACCGTTTGGACTAATCTGATGTTTGTAAAGTCTATAAACACAATGATTGAACAAACATTACTATTTCTGTGTGCACGTTTAACTGGGCTAACCGTTAGCTGTTAGCCCTGTTAGCCGTTAGCAGTGTCTGTAATAGGTAATAACTTATTAAACGGTCCGTGAAAAAAATATCTTTTCCAGCGATGTCTTAGTTACAACATGATTGAGCTAGCAAAGCAGTTTTGTGTTGCTATGTGTGGTATTTATTCAGTTTTGGGAAATCACGATGTCTAGAAAGCATCAGTGGCTGCTGCTAACAGGGACAGCTAACAGCAGCAGCAAAGCTAACATCAGGATGTCATCTGTTAAAAGCCTCCCGTTGTCGGATACGACATGGAACTACTCCAGTTAGCTCAATCATGTTGTAACTAAGACATCCGCTGGAAAAAATATTTTCTTCACGGATGAGCACACGTTTGATAAAACGGAGTTTAATCTCTCAGCATCCATTTTCAAGCTCTCTGTGTGTTTGTTTCCTTGCGGACGAGAAAAGGGGGCGCGCACATTTCCAAGAAGGCGTGTCCTTTTCAAAAATGCAAGAAGCGTTGCTTTGTTGCCGGCCGTTTTCGCCGGTGTGTTAAACACACTTTAGAAAGGAGTGTCCCCAGACTATCAGAAGGCGGAGATCTCTGATTGTCTGGTGGCGAGACTAAGACAGCATCACAACTATTTTTGCAATTTTCACTTGCCCCTGCAATAACATTGCAAAAAACTATAAACATCAAGACATGCATTGCAATTTTTTTTTTTTTTTTAGAAAAGTTGCCATGAAATCGGGCATTTCAGGCCACAACGATCGAAAAAAATAGCCTGTGAAATTCTGGAGGGACTATTTGATGGAGTTGCATGGGGTACTCATCCATAATCGGTGTATTACCTACAGTAGATGGGGGTGTGATAACGCACATCTACTGTATGTAATACTCACAATATGGATAAGTACCTCATTTAACCCAACTTCAAAAGACTGGGACTATCCCTTTAAATTTAACAACAACCTTGATGTCACAATCCTCCCTCTTTGAACTTGTAGCCAGCTAACTGTCCCTGTGAAATAATAGGTGCTGGTGATCGATGCAGTGTTTCGATCGAGGAAATGGGAATGTAGATGTGAGCAGGTGTTGGCATCAGTCATAACAGCTTCAGATGGCTAGGGAGGTCAGTCAGAGGGCGTGATCGAGTTGGCAGGGGGTGCTGGGCTGTGCAGTGGCCTCAGTTTTAGCTCCAGGGCAATGGCAGCCTTGGGTTTGACATTAAAAGTTCAAGAAAACACTTAAGTGTCAAGCTGTGTGGTGTATGTGTGTGTGTGTGTGTGTGTGTGTGTGTGTGTGTGTTTGCACTGTGTGGGCGTGTGTACTTAGAAGCGTGTGTATGTCATCTCCCGAGGACAAAGAGTGCTGGTCATTTGGATGAATTTATGTCATTTGTGGTCAATGCACATGGTTAGTTTGGGATGCATGTTCATGCAAACCATAATCTGATCAATCATGTTATGTCACCTCAGTGGGCCACACAGTGTTGTGTAAGAGTGAAACATTGCAAGATTTTCTTCTATTATCATTTTTCATCATTAGTTCGCTCCCTCACTGCGTGCAGACACCCACAGGAAATTCAGCAATTTCTTGTGTTAGGAGCAAAGTGGTATAGCACAGGCATACAAATGGTTCCCTGCTCTTAATGAAAAATGAATGCAATACCTCGGACAGTGTCCCCTGAACAGGAGCTAACATTTGGTGTTTGAATAAGTGAGACGGGGCTGTATATATGTAATGCAAGATGAAAAGCAGTGTGTAGCAATGTAATATTCATTCTTCATTTCACGCTGAATGCATTGAATATTCTATCTTTAGGATGAATTATAGATACTTTAAAAGCCAAGACAAGGGGAAGTGACCCCTCTGCACTGCTGCTTCCTGCTCATCATACTGTTAAAACGATGATGTTGTGCAGACCTTTTCTAACTCGACAACATAAACATTCAAAATTAGATCTTTTTTATTTCCTCGTGGGATGTTTGTTAATGCAGTAGCTGACAGGAAATAAACAGGGAACAAAGCTGTTGCTCTACCAACAGAAAAGCAATGAAAAGGTCCATAGATCGCAGACAGGTTTTCCCAGTATGTGTTCAGTGTACAATGTTCAAAGCTGTCTCTGCATATCTGTGTCTTTGATAGTTCACAAACATTTAAATCAGTAACTTACAATTGAAGACTTGCTTATATTTACATTTTATAGCATGTTGAGAGGTGGAACATTTTTTGGAAATATCTTTTGACCTGTATGATGAGAGGTTAATGTTTGAGTCAAGCTGTCAGCACCATAAAATTCATTGATGGGATAATGGACCGTATCTCTTACCTGCTTTGCCTTTGAAGTTCAGCTTAACATTTGAAAAAAACCTTTGTATTCTTTTCATACAAATGAAACAGAACCAGCCCATAAAGGCAGTAAATAACAAAAATGTTCATACTTTTATTTAGAGGTATCAAATCAGGCAGATAGTTTTGGCCTATTGTGCTCTGGTTTTTAAATCTCTGTCACCGAGTATCACAGAAACTATGTCATGCTTTGCTTCTGAGATGTTTTGTCTTTTGTCTCTACAGGGTCCTGATCTGCACCCATTCCAACAGTGCGGCCGACCTTTACATTAAGGACTACCTTCATCCTTACGTTGAAGCAGGCAATCCACATGCCAGACCTCTCAGGTATGGTTGCACATTTACTTAAAGAAGGGCTAAAGGCAAAAATACGCTTTAAGTGTGTATGTATGTGTACTGTCCACAGTAGGTAAAATATGCAATAGTGCCCTGAAGGAAACATTATGCTTATTGGGGTATATTTTAAGATGCAGTATAACAGTATATTTGTTTTCATTTGTATGTCCCATCTACAGGCTGCAGTTCATTCCAATTTTGAGAGGCACTTTGGTGTAGCTGCAATCATATCATTGCAGACCTACAATGAGCTATGTTCTGATAGGTTATACTCAAATGGTCTTAAGATGCCATCTTACGTCCAGTTGAGAAAAAATAGACTCTTGCCTCATCTGGTTAAAATACACATCACTTGTTGTGTATTTTAGATAAACAGCCCCCCAAAGCACACCTTTGTTTTGGAGTTAAAAACATCATTTCAGTAGTCATAGTTTGTCAACTGTGAGCTACTTAAAGCTGCTGATCTGGTCAGTTCTCTAGTATGTTAAGTTAGTTTTACAGAGTTAATTAGTATAGCCAAATAGAACATATTTAATACCACTATTTGGCTCATACTTTGAATGGCAAAACAATATCCTGCCCTTTTAATTGCTAGCACAAAGTTCAGTTGAATTACACCTTTTATATTCATTGGCTGTGGCTTGTCTGTCCGCTGAGACCATCCTAGGGGGAGATAATCTGTATGACACTCATTCATCTATACATCAACTGGATTACCTTGATTGGAAAGCCTGCAGTCAGAATAATATGTCCTTATTATACAGAGATTGTTGAGTGGCTGGCCTGTTTTTGCCCCACAGCACTGACAGGCGGACAATGGCTGGCTTTAGAGATGCAACCCCAAGAACTCTTGTGCTTTTAGAACTCCACCTGGAGGCAACAAACGCACACTTACTGATAAACACAACTTCCTCACACTGCATCAGTGATTTTTAATCACATTTCAAGGACCCCAGAGGTCACAAAGGACGGGGAAGCAACGTGTGCCTTGACCAGCCAGAGCTCTAACGTGACAGCTGTGTGTTTGTTAAGCCTAGGGACCATATGGGCAATCAAATGACTTGTTTCACATGAGTGGGCTGTCTGATTTCAATGGATTCCAGTGTGAATTTCTCCTTAATCACTGTAGCAGCCTCCTCTGTTGCCTCCCCATTGGGAGTGGACCAAGTCAAGAATAAAGACCCTCTATGAATATTTAGGACTCTAGTGTGGAAAGGGACTGACCAACATCGCAAGGAAGCAATGACTTCCCTTCCTTCCTGTCATGAGCAGTCATCCATAATCCACCTTACAATTGTACAATAATTCACTATAAACTTTTTATGGCACTCACTGAGTCCTTCTTGATGTTTTCTTCTCCGTGTGTTGAACACAACAAAGTTGTTTTGGCTGTGGTATTAAATGCTGATGTAAGCACATCAGATAAGACTCTTTCACACAATACAGATTGAATTGATTTCATAATGAATGAGAATCAATGCAGGCATATACACCCAAACAAGATGCAAAGACAAGACCCGTGAAGTAAACCTCTCTCTTCTGACACTTCTCCTTTCGTCTCTCTCTCTCTCTCCAGGGTATACTTCAGGAACCGCTGGGTAAAGACCGTTCACCCAGTGGTCCAGCAGTACTGTCTCATCTCCAGCACACACATCACTTTCCAGATGCCCACAAGGGAGGACATCCTCAGGCACCGCGTGGTGGTGGTCACCCTCAGCACCTCCCAATACCTCTGCCAGCTTGACTTGGAGCCTGGTGAGTCATAGCATAAGATTATGTAGTCATCGTAAGTATAGTAAGGCTGCCTAGTGATGGTTGTGGTGGACAGCCATTGCCCTCAGCAGCCTTTATTTTCTTTGCCAGCTCTTGAGAGTGGCTTATGCATGGCAGGGTTTACCAGGTGCAGATGGAATAAACATCATATGGTTCTGCAAATATCTGCCATGGTAGCAGTCCTTCTCATCCAGATTGCATGAAGCGATCAGGATAACTAAGAAAAAAAAAAAACATTTGCATTATTCAGAGAACATGAAAAATGAACACAGGCTAACAGGGCCAGTCAAGTCCCCAGAAATAATCGAAAGCCCTCATGGTACAGTCTGTCCCTCATAGTACAGTGTCAAAAAGAGGTGCATTAACAATCTCATCTTTTTACATCTGTGGACATGTAAATGTGGTTGATGAAATATTACAAACACCTTCATTATGATACAACACATAAGCAGAGAAAATGGTACTCTAAACAAAAGTTGAACAAATTAAGGAAGGTAATATTTATTAGAGGTCTATGATGTTGCACTGGAAAATAAACTTATACAAATATGATTTTTTTCTCCATATAAATATGTAAATGTAAACACATGGTTTCAGCAGATAATAACTATAGGCAGAAACAGCTCAGTGCACTTCGTCTCCTGTTCTTTGGTCATCCCTAGTGCCTCTCATATCTGGTGTTGGCAGGAGCCCACCATTTAGAGAGGGCTGGAACTCATTTAAGTTGTGTAAAAGACGTGGAAAACAAACCAGTTTGTCATTGCAAGCTAATAACCGGCTCTAATGTGTCAGCAGAGGGGGCCTTTTTCTGTTGCTTGGGAACACCATCTGCCTGTTTCTAATGTACTTTACATCATTAGCCCTCCACCCTACGTTTCATCTCTCCAGCTCTCCTGGTGCTCGACGGTGATGAAAATCGCCAGGAAACGAGGCAATTGGGAGCCAGCGAGTCCACTAAGTAGCAATAACAAATCTCCCACCCCAAACACACAGATGCCTCAAAAAAAATATATTATATGTCTGTCTGGTTTGTTGATTTTCCTCTCTCTGTATGGATTAGACATGAGATGTGGCATGTGGAAATGTGCATGGTTTGGTGTGCCTGTGTATGGGTTTTGCAGAAAGACTAATTTCATTTTCAGGAGCGAGACTCACAAATGTTATTGCCTGCTCATGTATGCAGATGGGTGGGTGTCCTCCTGCACATTCAAGTTAAGTGGATAACCCAAAGATGCCTCAGACGTCTGATTTTGAGTCACGGGGTAAAAAACTGATTGGTTGATCAGTTTGTGGCTGTTGTACTAAGAAATACAGTGTTCTGTTTCTGTATGAATTAATGAATGGTCAAGTTTCACTTTCTTTGTGCCTGGCGTTCTGCTGCTCCGTCTCTGCCCAGAGTACTCTCCGTGCTCCCAGAGTGTGGTTTACGTAATAACTGAATGGTATATATTCCAGCAGTGCTCCCAATGAGCAGTCCAGAAAATAGAAAATCAATACGTGGCGACAAATGCTGATATTGTGGCGGGCCACCACAAATGAATGAATGTGTGGGAAACCCTGGCCATATCAGCCCGCCACATTGGATGGTCAGGTAGTCATAAGTTTAAAAAGTTGAATCCAGCCTTACATTTGAAAGCACAGGAGACTCAGACTCTATATTCATGTCAGCTTCAGCCTGTTGAGGAGACATACATTGTAGCTGTATGTATTCGTCTATCAACTATTATTTCTTTAGCAGAAGGTAATTAAATGTGTAAAATAAACTACTCTAGAAAATAACTCAAAATTAGCTTATTTAAAGGTATAGGAGAGACATGTGCACTGCTGAAGATAATGCTGTATTTCCTTTGTTAGCAGATGTGTGGTCGGGCTCAGGTGAATATTGATCTGTCTGGAAGCTACTGGATCTTGCAGCCCGGTGATAAAGGTTGAAGACCACAGTGAATACTGTGGTCAATAAGGGAATGTTGTTAGCAGAAATTACACATTTTTCACATTGTGTTGCAGGCACCAGAACACATCCAAGACCAATGTCAGATTCTCACAAAATCATTTTTCCCCAACCGTGCTCAAGCTGTTACAGAATTTGACAACACTTTCTTAAAAAGCTTGTGTTATGATTTAGAGTTACCTGCAGAGACCCTTTCACACTCACAGATTACAGATTTTCCAAGTCACTTTTACAGTGTGAAAAGGGTGGAAAGTGACTGTCAAAGGGAGAATGTGAGAGACAGGGTGTGTGAGGTGAAGGAGCTGCCATTTATTATTAAACAGTTAGCTGTCCCCCAAATCACTTCTGCAACACCGTGCCTCTGATCTCTTTCACCTCTGCTTATTATCCCCCCACCTCCTTCTTTCTTTAACCACCGTTGTTTCCAAATTCCAACTCCATTATTAGACCAATGACAGATAGCGGCTGCAGAAATGTAATTTAGACCTCTGGTTTAGATTCCCCAAGGCGGGCAGCTATGTCCCAGGTGAACCATTAAGCACCATGTTCCTTCGTGTCTGCCTCTCTGTCTCCTCTGCACTCATAAAGACTGTCTCTGCCTCTGTCTTGCCCCCCGCCCGCGCTTTATCTCGACTTCCCTGCCTGGGGAAACATTTCCATTTGTAATGATCCATGTACATCATTTGTGAGCGTTATTTGGTCGTTACATATTCATGTCGATCGAAGTCAAAGAGCAAGTAGGCAGGATGCAGTAGGGCTCCTGGTGACTACAATTTATAGACAGGGGTCAACAAAAGTGCCCGGCCTCAATAATTTACCATTGTGATATAAGGGTAGCACATCTGCACAATTTCACATCTCTTTGGCTGCATTGTTGAGCAAGTAATATTCCAGGGAGTGGTGAAAAACAAATGAATGTTCCAGCTAACATTTCATCGCTCTCAATGCAGTGAAAACTGTGCTGCTTGGATGTTCATTCATCCTGCACATAAACTATTCAGAGATTACTCAAGCACATGATTTTAAGTATATGTCTATTATCCAGAGATTTGCTCATGTGCATAATTTTATGCATATTACACCCTGCCTTTGAAGGAAGTATGACCTTTCTGGCATCTAAGAATCTGTCGTTACCATCTAACAAATCATACTGTTAGATTCCTTTCTTTTCTGTTATGTAATTCTAACAATGCCTTATTTCATATTTTTAGTCTGTTAAAAATACATGATTTTCCAGTGACAGTTTTTCTTGACCTGTGCATTTGATACATCGTTTTACAGCTCTGAATGTCTCACTTCATAAGCTTTAATAGATAAACCCAATTATAGACGTTCTGCAAATATGTACGCAAAAACATGGTCCATCATAGAAACCATCGTCATTAAAAAAGTGTATGCCTTTTTATCAGCACCACAGTGGGGGAACAGTGCCGGCACATCCTTCAATAAGGTGTACACACAGTTCAGAGACAGCACTGGTTTGAGGCTTTATAGTTTGAGGAAGAAAAAAATCAATACGTTTTGCAGGCATTTGTTCAAAGGCAGATACGTGATTGTTGCCTCAAATCTACCGCTCCGCCTCTTTTCTCTCCAGCCCATGTTTCTGTTGTTTGTTTACTTTTTGACAGTCCCCGAGTTTTTGTTGTTTTTCAACCGTCACATTTCATATCTGCATATACTTTCCTGTGGAAATGGTGCTCGGGCTTCAGAGGCTGTGTGCTGGTTGTTATTCAGCCTCCCACTTTCCCACTCCCTGCTCCAGCACTCATTTGCCATGCCGTTTCATCCCCTCCTCTCATACTGCCGAGCACCGTTTGAGCTTTTTAAATCAGGGTTAGGCTACTGTTCAGTCCCTTTCAAAATGTCCATAAAACCCTGCCTTTGGTTTGCAGCACTGGTTAAAAGAAGGAGAAGAAAAAGCGACGGAGAGGATGGCACAGTTACAAGGTTTTAATGTTCCTGCTGAACAAAATTATTGTTCATTAATGTGCCTGTGTAATAATGGTAGAAATATATTGACATGACGAGGTCTGGGTATCGGTACGAATCATCTGATTCAACTAGATTCATTGGGCTTTGATTTGATATCGATTTATTTTGACACTTACATTCTACTCCAAATTATTTCCAAAGTATTTCTTCCTAATTCATGTCCATAATGTGCACGACACAAGCAGCGTCTAAGCAGTATCTTTCAAATGATTTCTGAGGTCTTTGCTCCTGCAGTATTTCAGCACTGAATGGCACAGATTACAGGTGACCCGTCTTCTGTTTGGTTCTTTGTCCTGTGGTTTTGAATCCAAAATGCTCCCCAGCATTTCCCTGACAGAACATTGAAACACTACTGCTGCTGAGAAGGCATAGTTTGAACAGATGGGAGGCCCTGTAGTCCCCAACTATAAAAACACCTTGGTGAAGTGACGTGCACGTACTTACAATGTAGGTGCATAATAAATGGCTAATGTATAGTTCTGGGTGAATTGCTGGGATAACCTTTCAGGCACCACAAGTGATTTTCGTTATTCACACATGCAGTACATTCAGGAATATTTCTGCCCAGCATAAAACTACAGAAGAAGAAGGTGGGACAAGACCAGCGGCAGAGAGAGACATTTCAGGAACATTGTGGGCAAGAAGCTTGTCCGGTGCCAATACAGTTGCCAGCCATTCTTGAAATTAGTAGCTTTTTTGTAGTGATGACGTTTTATATCCAAAAGGTCAAAGACCAACATCACTGTGACATCATATACCTCTTTTTGACAGTCATGGGCTGGCTTGGCTTGGCTTGGCTTGGCTTGGCTTGGCTTGGTTTGGTTTGGGCCATCAGCCCAGCAAAGCAGGGATTTGCATTTCCATTACATCAGGGCGACCTTCTTGAAGGTGCGTCTGAAACTGATGATGCTTGTCTTGAAGCCACGTTAAAAAGCAACGGGCTGATCCACGGCTAAAGTCTCCTGTTATTTTTTATTCAATTCTTCAGTAAACTCTGATGAAAAGCAAAAAGCGTTACTATTTTTGTTGTCAACAGGATACTTGAGCGTGCTTTTTCAGGGCAGTACAACTGTGTAGTATGCTGAACATATGTGTTGGTGTGCTATCTGTTTCAACAGGGTTCTTCACTCATATCCTGTTGGATGAAGCGGCCCAGGCCATGGAGTGTGAAACCATCATGCCTTTTGCTCTAGCTAGCAAGACCACCCGCATCGTGCTGGCTGGAGACCATATGCAGGTAGGTGCAAACAGTTTCTCCAGTGAGGCAAACAATGCAGCATTTCTTTCTTCATGTACTAATTGTCAGAATAAAAAGGTCCAGGGTTCATTCCCTCAGAAAAATGAAGACCTTTCTTTATACCCTCAAATAAACCAAAAAATACCCTGAGAGGAGGGACGCAATACAGAAGAAGAGCTACAATCTGCCTAATAACTCCATTTGCACTTTGCTGTGGATTAGACTCCACTCTCCTACTCCAAATACAAAAGAGCAGACAGCAGCCACTGTAGAGCTGTGGTTCTGGAGACCACTTCAGCCACAGATAACACTCACATCAGCCGAGCTTTCTAAGCCAACACAAGGAATTAAAACCTTATTTCCTTCCTCCTGGTTTTAGACAGTGGCACAGGATTACTAGTAGGCAGTGGATGAAGACGAGGCAGGACTCTACCATGCAGTCGCTGCTATAATTACTTGATCGCTCTCTCTCTGCTATTTCTTGGAGCAAAGAAAAACGCATTTAAAAGACAATGTCCACCTGTGTATCCATCTGTCTCTTTATCAATCACTTTGTCTCACGCATTTCACCTTCCATATCCTTTATCCTGTATGATAGCTCACTAAGTCCAAGGTAGGAAGGTACTCAAAGGAAGGATGTATAAATTTCTCCATCTCCTCACTCTCTCCTGTCTGCTCTCGCTATAACAGTTTATCTCCATTATTCAGCAGGTGAAAGCAGGCGGAATAGTCAATGAAGGCCAAGGCCTGTATTGATTATTTGCTTTCTTATTGACTGTGTGGGGCCTCATTTAAGCTAGCCGACCCTCGCTCTCTTTCAGGCTTAAATAAAGATTCAAACTAAGGATATTGCTGTCTTGTACACGGCAGTGGTCAAACGAGAAGAGAAAAATGAGTCTGTGGGTGTTTGTGTGTGCAATTTTCCAAATGTGTAACCTCATTTGAATCCAAGCACATTGGGATAATGGCCACAAATCTTGGTCACTGCTGTCAGATCAGAGGGAAATACACATTGAAGTTGACTGTTTCAGGTATTGGGGGAGTGCTTGATTTATTCACCTATTTGATGTATTGCTTGCAAGAAATAAGGACTCAAATGCCACCTGTGGTTTGGTATCAAACAATCAAATGCTCTTCTGCCTTGGCTTGCAAGCACTGCCATATTGGAGCAGATCTGTAACTAAGACTGGCTACTGCATATATACTCCAAGCAAAATTGAATTTGGCATGTTCTCAAACTGCTGTGAAATCACTGCGAGTAAATTCCACTATAATCAGCGCGACTCAAGTTGTGTTTGCTTAATGGCATACACACCAGATGGAAGGGCTTGCGAGTCACAATGGGGAAAAAACAACTCGCTCATTTGAAGTTCCTCAAAACAAAAATAGTTCTCCAAGTAGTTTATGAAATTTAAATTTCATAACACTTGGAGTATCCCACCTAACTATTAACCCCTCTTGAAAAAATAGTTCCAGGAATGATGGTGCCCAGGGAAATCAAACTCAGACGCTAAATTCTTAAAGTCCCTTTTGTGGATTCCTGATAGCTTTCCACCTCATCTGCAGAAGTGTAAAGATTAGGCAAATTAGACTGCTGTATAAAAAGTAAAAAAGGGTGTGCTTTCTGTAGTCCATCCTGCCAGTGCAGCTCACATGCCAGGGAAATTCTGTTCAAATAAATTTCAAAGCACACATGAGATTGCAAAGACATGATATTCTTGTTGATATGACTTGCCAAGCTGCTTTATATGCCATGGAGGAAAAGTGACTCATGTCAAGCTACATGTGAATCTGTGTTATTATGATAACTTCAACCAGAAGTGATAAAAGTAATCCAGGAAATCACCGGATGAAGACTTTGTTGTAAAATGAAAAAAATTGCCCTTCATTTGTGCCTAAACCATCCGTGCCACATGTTTGACACTGCTTTGCATTGTTTCAGCAGACCAAACTGAAACTCATAGTTGAATAGAAAGGAAAACTAATGATGTGAGAGAACGGTAAACTACCTTTGTCATGCTTTGAAACTAACTTTGCTCTCCATCTCTCTCTCTCTCCCTCCCCGCCTCTCTTCTCTCCACTTTGTGTCTCTCGATTTGCAGCTGAGTCCGTTCGTGTACAGCGAGTTTGCGCGGGAGCGTAACCTGCATGTGTCACTGCTGGACCGGCTGTATGAGCACTACCCCCCTGAATACCCTTGTCGCATCCTCCTGTGCGAGAACTACCGCTCTCATGAAGCTATCATCAAGTAGGTGTGAGCCCTCAACACTGCCTTGTGTCAAAACCGTGGGAGGAGAGGCTGAGATACTCAAGTGAAGAGGGGGTGGGAGGAATGGGTCAGGAGGAAAGGGGAAAACGGAGGTGAAGAGTTGACAGACTTGTCCAGATATTGAAGTGGAGACATTACGAAAATGTTTGGGTTGATATTAGCTCTATGACAAAACATCATCAGGGGCTGCATGGGTACTGGTGAGAAGATTAAAAATGAACTTGAAACTCGGACACAAGACACAAAGGAAGGTTTATAGAGTCACAATAATATTTCCCCTCCATCTTGATACTTGTGGGGTTAACGGTATGTACTTTTCTACATGGTGCACTTTTTTTTAACCTTTTCAGTTCAAGTTGGGGGTACGCTGGTATGCTGGTAACATACTCAGTGTATCTTTAATCATTCTGGCATTTAGCATTCATATGTATTCACAGGATGGCACATTATCTCCTCAAACCTTCAGAACTTTTGATACGTCTGTCATTACAAACTCATGCTTTGTGGAAAATGCATTTCAGACTTTGACTTCAAATTTTGTTCAAGATTCCAAACTTTCCCCAAATCCCAAATATCCCAGGTTGTACTCCAGGGAAATGTGTATGAAATAATGTGTAGGATATAGAACTGCACAACCAACTTTATCAGTGTTATGTGACTTAAATTATGAGTGAATTCTGACATACAACACACATACTCCATTCTCATAGCTCCCTCTTTTTGCTTTCCTTTTCCTCCCTCTTACCCCGTCTTTGTTTTCCTGCAGCTACACGTCAGAGTTGTTTTATGATGGGAAGTTGATGGCAAGTGGGAAGCAGCCCTCCCATAAGGACTTCTACCCTCTGACCTTTTTCACAGCCAGAGGAGAGGATGTCCAGGAGAAGAATAGCACTGCCTACTACAACAACGCAGAGGTATGGAAGTTTTAATTGGTAGCCGTTCTGCTGTGTCATGCCCCACGGTGTTCGCATATAAATTATGATCTTGTAGATTTTGAAATGAATAAGTGAATAGAAAATTCACATGCAAACAAGCATCATACATTTAAAAACAACATTTAACACCAGTATCTGATAACACCAATATATTAGTTTAGCACCTGATGCTTTAATACAGCATTTTCCAGTCCTATGTCATGGAGCTGATGTATTTCTGAATTTCATGAAACTGCCAGTCAGTCAGCGGTGGGCACTACTTTCTAAATATGTTTACCTCCTTCCTCTGGGATGGGTATGGCTGTCATATTGACCCAATTTAGTTTAGTTAATTGATGGTGACACCTGTGCTGTATCTGATCTGAAATAAGGCTTCACTGTATGGACGGTGAGGGAAATTAACATTATGAAAATGCTCAAATTCTGATTATGAAATATTAAAACAAACACTTGGCTGATGATGTGATTAATTCATCATCAGACAGCCTATGGGGCTTCAATGTGTGCTAGTTACACCTCCTGTTTCTCATGCAATGAGAAGTTGATATCTAATTGTTGTCATTTTTATCCACCTGAGAACACGCTGACATCTTCAGGCAGCATTGTTGTCAGTCGGCATTGCTTCCGCTTCTGTGCTCGTATATTGTATGTGCATGATATACTGCAGCTGCATCTCTCTGACAGAGTGACTGCTGAGCTGTGATAGTGCCAGAACCAGTGATCTAACACTGTGATTGCACAGTCTAAAAAATACAGATCCAATTTGCACCCTCACTGCTGCAACTGTGTGCTCAATAACACAATTAGTATCAACACTGCTGACCTTTGAAAAACACAGGTAACCTGAATAATAATTTAAATGAAGAATATTTGGGCCTCAGCTAATCAGCCTGATAAATGTGTGAAATAGATTATTTGATTCAGCATGTTAGCTTTCAAATCATGCATGGGTTTTAGGCTGTCAACCCCAGTGTGATGTAAATAATGAAGGGAATTGATTATAATGAAATGGAATTTGATTCCGATTAGTTAACTGAAGTCAAAAGCTGAATGATTTTCCAAAGCTGAGCAGCACTGTTTATTTCGCCTCCTCACATCCACTGTCTTTTAATCATAATTAAAGATGAAAGCCATAAACGTAATTAGGAGCTACATTTGATTCCCATGATGCATGATTCACTGACAGTCCCAGCCTCTGATTGGTTCTTCTGTAGACCCACTTTGTTTGTGGTCATTGGCTGTGTCTGACCCCTGACTCTGCTGCTGACACGTTCCAGCCAATTAAACCACGGCTGCCTCTTGATTGCTCCCAAACTGTCAGCGACGCCAAATGAATTACCTCCCGTCCCTTTGATATAGCACCCATGTCAAACCATTACAACATTATCATAATCTTGCAAAATCACAGTGCATTGAAAAAAAAAGTGTGTCCGTTTATTAGTCTTGTGCAAGCGTCTTTGATGGGCTTAGCTTCAAGTGGAAGACAATATTTCCATGACAGTTCAAAGCCTCTGGCAGTGTGCCAAAGCTCTGAACAGGGCTGGGAAAACTGCTCATATGACAAAAGAACAATAAGGATTCAAAATACCAACTCTTGACTTAATAACTAAGCAAATTTTAATACTTTGCTAACACTCAATACATTGTATTGGACATACAATCAAATCAGCTTATGATGTTCAAAATTAAGTGATCAAAATTATATCTTTCATTTCACAATGCATTGTTATATATTGATACTTCACTTTCTGGAACACTCCAAACCTGTTTTTCTCAGAGGTCTTACAGCACATCCATTTCCATTAAGCCATAGCTTCCTGCTCTCTATGTTTAGATGCCCCAGTGTCACGCAGCACATAAAGCCTCTTTAGTTCTTCAAACATGCTGTCCCCCACTGTTGCTTTTTACCTGGGTGGAAAATATCTCTTAGTCTGTGACTCCCCACAGTTCTTTTTGTGTGCAGGGATCAGGGAATGAAGAGAGCATGGAGCCTTATTGTCACCTCTTTCTCTCACGTTGCCTCTCCATCCCTCAGGTATTTGAGATCGTGGAGCGGGTGGAGGAGTTGCGCAAGAAGTGGCCAGTGGCGTGGGGCAAGCTGGACGACGGCAGCATTGGAGTTGTGTCACCATACGCCGACCAGGTGTTCCGCATTCGTGCTGAGCTCCGGAAGAAGAGGATGCACGAAGTCAGCGTGGAAAGAGTGCTCAATGTCCAAGGTGAGTAAGAAGTATAAACCAACATGTGTGTGCTTTGTGTCAATCGTAAGAATATAATGTCAACATTTGTGTATTTACTGGCTCAAACACTGGATCTATTGCTACATTAATATACCAATTTGGGAATAATTACAGTTTTAAATTGTCTTGTTGTTCTGCATGCACAGTTAACAAAACAGATCATTTAATGCTGTAATATTTTTATCAGTTAATTTGATGGTATATCATAATTATTCAAAGAACAGGAAACTGAAAACTGGGAGACCGCAACTACAGTCAGGCAAATCAAAAACACAGTTGTCATTGGTGAACAAATCCAAAAATCTTAATCCCCAATTGCCTCATTAATATTTGTCCATGACACTTGTATCACACATTTCTGTGTGTGAGAGATGATATTAGCGTCGATCTTGAGTCAAAATGATGCTTAAAATGAGAGCTACATTACCCTGAAGACACATCCCTACTATCTTCCACTGCAGTTATCATATTGCCCCTCTTATCATCCAGTCCCAGTACAGGGGGAATATGTGTTAGAGTTTCTTCCCTCAATCCCTCGTCTGCTTCAGTTCCCACTTGTATTGCATCCAGCTGCTTTCCACAGGTCATTAAGTTCCTCATTAATCACACATGAAACATGTAGACACACACACACACACACACACACACACACATAGAGGAAAACTGCACTCTTAGTGCTTAAAATTTGAATTTAACACATATGTGGATAATTTTAGTTTGTCTTTTGTCTGCAGCCTCTTCAGTCATTAAAACGTTTAGTTAGTCCTAGACCTAATTTGTTCTATTTATACAGATATAATGAATTGTCTCCTTTATTTGTAACAAAACTTGAGGCAGCACAACACAAGAAATCAGCATGCAGATGGTTTCAGTTTTTACTGATATCAAATGTCACGGAAGCTGATGAAGAAATTAAGTTCGTCCAACAGTTTTCATTAATTGCATTTTTATTGCTTATTTTTCAGTAAGGGTATGATGTGCTTCAAAATGTGTCAGCCATGAGCTAGCTTCCATCTCTCCTGAGTTTCCTAATTAGTGAAATAGAAAAGTGAAATAGAACATTTATAAGATGGTCTTTTTTTAAATATGTTTTGCCTCAATAGCACTCCTCAGACTACTTAGAAACTTAATAGTAAATAT